TAACGTTTTGATTGTTACAGCTGAATGATGAAATTTGGATCAAATGAAACATTAGTGAGTGGAAAAGTAACATATGTCAAATGACTAAAGTTGAACACCTCTGCTGTCTGGATTCTAGAGGCTCAAAATGCACAAATACAGCTCAGGCGTCACTCTCTCCAGCAGTGGCACTCTGGACTTCCTCTTCCAGGATGGGCACGATGAGGTTGTCCTTAGACATAAGGTTGTACTTCATCACGAAACGAGTGAAGCGGTGACACAAGAAAGTCTCATTCTGTGGGAAAGAGATGATCTTTTGATCAAATGTTTCTATCTGATGCTGTTTTGATTGTGCTTTTTAGCAAGCTGTCCAAAGATGCCTCCTACTGACCACTGCAGGAAATGCTGTTTGAATGCACAGGAGCTGCTTTGTCATGACCGCTGGACTTTATCATGCTTAACATTCACTTTAAATTAAGTAATGACTCCAAAAACTCTGTGAGCTGCTTACTTAGACATGAACCTCACAGAAATCTCATTAATGACCAATTGGAACCTTTCTTAATGGGCAGCAATTCCTGATTACAACTGCTCTGTTAAGCAGAAAAATACAGCACACAAATATTTGGTAAAACAGTTTTATGATGGAATAATTTTTATGACTGAAGTTCAGGATTGTGAAATGATGCATAAATAGGCAGTAGGTTTTGGAGCAGAGCTGATATTGTTTTATGAAATGTATGTGCTTATGACTTACATAAATGTTCTTACCTCATACTTGTCAAAAATCTGGCGGTGGTGAAAGTAAGCATGGGAGAAGATCCTATAGATGCGACGGCAAACCGAGCCCAGTTTGGCCACAGATGATTCCTTAATGCTGACGCTATATGGAAAGCAGTGAGAGGATCAGCGGTTACAGAAAACAGCAATAGCCTGTTTACAGCTAGAAAATCCTAGAAATTAACTTAGTAATGCAAGGGTGCACAAATCTGCTCATGAAGGTCTTCCTTCCTATGTACTTGAGATCCAACTTCAATTTTGTGAAGCGCTTTTTACAAAACATCTTACAAATTCACGATGTACTGCATTTATATGAAGAAAAAGCTGTATTTATTTATAGTAGTTAGAAGTTGGAATAATTAAGTCATCATGCGGTGATATGGAGCTCTGTAAGGGTTGAAAGGTATGAGCTGCATAAGGTTTTAATTACAAAACATAAAAATAAAAAAAAGCCTATTTACTAGTTATATCACCCACCCCTAAACAAGGGGAAGAAATGGTTTGGGGGGTCCATTAAAAACTCCAATTTGGTTGTGTTCAAGCAGTGCTGGAACTAAATTCCGCAGGAAAACAGATCTCCAGAAGGAGCACTGAACACCCCTGCTTTAACAGATGTTCAATAACTCACCGGCTGGGAAAATACTTGTTGCTGTTGAGAAGACACGCAGCTCCGTCGAGAGTGTGCCTCGTGTAGTCAATGGCAGGGCACTGTGAGCCACCGTAAACAAACAAATCAACATAAGACACAATCATCCATATTTTAGCTTCAGTCTGTTAAGAACTTCATTAGGGCTGCAACAACTGATCGATAACAATCGATGAAAATAATCAACTAATTTGGTGATTAATTTAAACACATTCTGTGCATGAAAAACATAAAAATAACATCTGGATTTTTTTATCTGATTAATCAAAAACATAATCTAGAGATTATGCAGCCCTAAAATTCATACTTGGGCACAACTTCTTTTTTTTACAATAAAGCTAATTTCAAATGCAAACTTTGAACTTAGATCAAAAGGTCACAGAGACACTCACCTCTTTGGGAGTCTTATGGGCAGCACACAGAAAGATCCACTGCTCAGTAGCAGTCATCTGGGTACACGTGTCAGGATGACACTCATTCTATGGAGCAAAGACATCACACATCATTCTACTGTCTTCATAAATATCTGAAGACAAATGTAAAGACAACCTGGTATGTGACAAGGAGATGTACTTTACTTTTAAAATAATAGTGCAGTGTAGAGTGCAGACTATGCGAGTTATTTGTGATATAACAGTGCGATAAAGTGTAAGAAAGATAATTACCTGCAGTTTAACTGCTAAGCCATTGAGCTCCAAACAGAACTGTCTATACGTATATACAGAACATAATATTTACAATTTACACAATACAATAACTCCCAAGACACAGCAACAAAGAGCATCTGCCATCTGATAAACATTTTGTAGACCAACTTTATATTGTCTTTAACATTTAAATAAATATTACCCATTGTGTTCATACATGCTTTTAAGTTGTATGTATATTTTAAAAATATTAAATTCTGTAATTACATGGATAATTAGAATGTTGACCCTACCTCTCAACACACCCATAAACCTAACCGTGCTACAAAACTGTATCTCAGCTCAATAGCAGCAAAAGCAATTTGCAATACAACTAACACAAATCACTATTTTTTCATCAAAAACTATAAGCTATGTGTCATTACAACACTAGATGATGTGAAGGAGGTTCAGACTAATAATATACCTGAGATGTTCATATTTCCACACCCCCTCATCCTGTCCCTCTGGAGGCTCCATAATCTTCTCTATGTTGGAACAGTCTGAACGGATGCTCTGCTGGATATACTGAAATGCAAAAAACAACCATTTACCACAAACAATATAAAAACACCCAACAGAAATGAACAAAATGACTTCAAAATGTAATAATCTGCAGCAAATAACTTCAATCTGTTCCTCATATAAAGATACTGTACTACTTAAAGGGCATTAGAATATGTTGCAAAAATCACATTGACAATTTTTACAGTGCTTTTTTTTGGTCACTTTTTGGAGCTTGACAGCCTTTGGCCACGGTCTGGAAGACAGCAACTCTCAGAAATCTTTAGTGATTCAATGAAGTAAGAAAACAGTCACCTGTTGCACTGCCAGTGTGCTGTCCATCTCTTCAAAAGACTCATCAGACCAGTTGTAGAAGTCCTAATGATGAATTAAACAACCAGTTTTTAAACCACATTAATAGAAACAACACTAGAATATTTAAGACAGTTCAACCACTGTTAAGTAATTATTGACAGTACATGTGTGATACATACATACATACATATATACATACATACATACATATATATACATACATACATATATATATATATATATATATACTTCAAAGCTTTTAGACAATTTACAACTGTTTCTACGTTGTTACCATAGTTTGTACCTAACGTTACCTATAGGTACAAAAAAACATGGTAAAATGTTCCAAAGGTTCTGTCAATTTCTTTATATATTAGTGACTGAACGCAGCAGTGTATACTACCTTAAAGCTGTATGACTCTGACATACAATCGTATATCATGTTAACTATGTTTTAAATAATAATTTAATGTATTTGAGCATCAGCAGTGATGCTCATCCGGGTACTGCTAACGTTAGCTGACTGCTGTTTGCTAACAAACTAGATCGTGAAAGCCTGGCATTTCGGACGCTTCCTGCCTCATACTTCACTACACATACAAGTACTTTCAAAAAGAACATAAATCCTATCATGAATTAAACTGAACAGGATATTCAGCTAAAACCCTCCATTTGAGAATCATTAGTTTTCTCGGCTAACTGCTAGCTTAGCTCCTTAGCATATCTGCAGCTTCCGCTCGCAGGAGAACAAATCGTTTTTTATGTAAATATGACATTAGAATATACTCTACGAACAGATTTGAGTTTGTAAAACGCCTTCAAGTGTTATTCGCTGTTCATTTTACCTTCGCCTTGGTGCCTGGTCTATTCCTCCTCAGAACAGCTGTGCCCTCCGCCATGACCATCTCGACAGATTTAGAGTTTGATTGACAGCGCGCCCCCAATGGACGAGTAGAGCTACTACAGGAGAAGCTCAGATACAGTGACCACAACAAATACTGTACAAAACATGTTCACAATTGTCAATTTCACAATGTCTTAAAAGTATTTATTTTATGTATAGTATTTTTTATCATTTATTTTGAACTGCATTTTAAACTGTTTTATTTGACCTGGGGCCTGTTGCATTAACACAGCCAATACGTAAATACTTTATACTGTGTCTCAAGAACTAGTCTGACCAGCTAGCGGTTAGCCAAGGGATAACCAGTCTCACTTTTATTCTCAAATTTAAATCAAAGATTTTAAGCAACTGCATTAAAAAAAAATTATAACCAGCCTTTAAAATAAAGATGACTGTAATAAGCTGTTTATGCAGCTGGCCCTTGTGGGGAAACTCCAGGTGGCATTAGGTGGCTAATTTTATTAGCCATGAAATTAATTTTTTTAAGGACTCAAGGACCTTCTTGTACAAACACAAAGCCTTGAGTCCATTCATATTTTTTTCTTGGCACTTAAAAAAAAAAATTAAATAATAGCCAAGCTTCAAGCAATAGCCAGTGAACCAAGCTTCTCAGTGTACTAGCAAATTTTCATCTATTTACATCTACACTTACATCTATTCATTAATACTGTATATGTTTCCCTATTGATTATTCTAAATCATATCAAATAAGAAAAAGCAATTTTTTTAATATTTGAATAATTTTTAATGAATAAAATGTCATGGCAGTTAAAAAACACTTTTTATATAATTGTGATAAAAAGGTCTAGGAGTCTGGTTACTTTCAGAAGTCACTGTACTATTATTATTTTAGTTATTCCTTCTGATTACATCCTGTAGCACATATTCATAATTCAAAGGAAATTATTCATGGAATAAAAATTTGTCTGGTAAAACATAATTTTCAAACCCTATAATTAGTTCACTAATTACTTTATAATCACAATTAAAAAAAAAAAAATCCATCTGACTCCATTATAACCTTCTACAAAGTTAGAGTTAAAGAATTCATACCTGACCAAACACTAAAACAAACCGTTCATGAATATGGAATATAAAGTATCCTAATACACACAATTTAGACAGTCCATATCCATGTTTCAACATTCACATGTTCATTTCCAAACTGTTCCATGAAGAAGCAAGATGAAACATCAAGATCACTTTATTTGAAACAAAACTTGATCATACTTATTTACAACTGAATGACACAGAAAAAAGAAACAAAACATGGAACAACCATTCTCTCTATGGACTCCAGAATGACACAGATGGTTGAACAAGCAGACTTCATTCTACATATTTGCCAAGAATATCTCCATCCCGGAACAGGAAATAGTCCTACAAAAGAAAAATACAAAAATGGCCATTGTAAAATCAAGTCACTATTATACAAATTATAAATATCATTTGGTTACATGTCTTCTATAGAATTTAGTCAGAATAGCACCATATTTAATTTCTGACAGGAATGAAAACAAAGCTGTGAAGAATAGAAATACTGTGTTCAAATGTACTGAAAAAAAAAAGTATTTCCAAAAAAATGTATCTAATCTAGGACCTTTATACAGTGCATGCCATTGTAAAGACTATCCCTCACAGCCTTGTTTTCATCTGTTAAATTCATTATGGTGTCTGACCTGACTAAAGTCTATAATAACATGCCAAGAGCTTTAAATAATAGACTAAATAATGTATACGTATTAACTAATAATAAGAAATACATAAGAATACAAAAAATCAATCATCTTATAATCCAATGATGACCAATGATCTAACCTTATCATCAAGAACAACTTTTGTTCCTCCGTACTCCGGCAGCATAACTTTATCCCCAACTTTGACGCAGACAGGTGTTACTTTCCCATCCTAAAAGACAGACAGCATTTAAACTCTAAGGTACAGCCTGCATCTCACACACTGTAAAGAAAATGCTTAAATCAGATCATAAGATAGGAGTTTATAAAAAAGCTACCTTGTTGGTGGATCCTGGACCCACTGCCACCACTGTAGCCTGCAGCACTTTGGCTTGAGACTTTTCTGGAATCATGATGCCTCCTTTCGTCACCGTCTCTGCAGCTAGCCGCTCCACCAACACGCGGTCGAACATGGGAAGAAATTTCCGGAAAGCCTGCTTTGGGGCAAAGGCATGCTTAGTACAGTGTAGAAATAGTCTATGCATGTTTTGCAACACTACAA